CCTCATTTACGCATCTTTTCAGTCGCCGGACTCTCGTCTTTTTGTTTGTCGAACTCATGATATTTTTACGGGTGTTATGGATTTATGCGGAAATGTGATAAAAATTGTTGGTGGTTCTCTAGCTCGACTTTATGCTTGTGTGAACTAATAATTGACTATGTCTAATGCCCGAAAGAGGTTACAGCCATCAGGCTAACTGGAACTAAACGTAGTTTCTTAATCTCATTTCCAGGGTTGAAGGGCACAGAGATGGGATATATTTCAGGCTTTCTCCATGAACTCCATCCGATGAATGAAAAAGAAAATATTGATAGGTTTAGTTTCCTATTACCATTTCACTTTTAGCCACCCATATCGCCAAATCAACACCTCTGTGCTTCATCGAGAAACGAGCCACAGAAACTGAACCACACCTTAGGAGGATGACTTACTAGCATAATTACAGCCAAGCCAGAGGAAATAACAAAACCAAATATGGGCAAGAAAATGCTGGGGGGCCATCATAAATCTCAGGTCCCATGAACGCGGCAAATTAACATTATTAAAATTTGGTTTTCGGCATACATAGAAAACAAAGCGAAACAAAACGAAAAAACAAAGCACGAACAAATCAAAAATACTAAACAAATAATATTTTATTTGGACTAAACTAGTGGCGAGGGCAGTGCGTCCCGGTTCCAGGTGTTAAGTGAGAAGTAAACGCTGGCAAGGGGAACCAACCAACAAACCCCGGATAGGTGAATGGAAAGCCGAAGGCGCCTTCATCGCTTCTCAGCTGGGAAAAGGAAAAACTATCCGAGAAACTCCATGAAGGATGTTTGATGCGGACTATAAAAAGTGTAGAAAATTTACGACACGATAATAAATCAAAATGTAATCTATAACAAAAAATGAGAAATATAAAATTTCCGATGCCCTAATTCATTTTTTATAGAGGTGCTTTGAAGCAGGGCTTGGAGAATAATCAGCAGCACAGTTGGAAATCGGGACACCCATAAAAAAAGGAGACTCTCCACCAACTCTCATCTAAATAAAATTTAATGTTTATATGGCGCACACACCTCCAATTTATGTCCGTCTTCGGAGTGGCAGCCCCAAGGAGAAACACAAAGAGTCTTCAGCTAACAATGGCGAGTCCTTTTCTCCGACATCTTTTGGCTTGTTTAGTGGATGATAAATTGCTGCTGTCTGTCTATACAGATTCTACTACCACCGGCAATTGTTATGATTTGTTTATGCCTTTTTTGGGAGCAGCTGTACCACGCCTCGCTCTCAGTTTGAAACAAAATACAATTGAATTTAAGATGAAGAGTCGATTGATCTGTACACTGAAATAATCTAATATCGGAACTTTTTTCACGCTACACTGTAAATTATTCATTTGTTTTCCTCGCACATAACAGTACCTTACCTAAACCAACATCAACCAGGACATCCCGCATATTGCATTCGGAATTACGCTCGTCCGGAAAATGGTATTAATTGTATGAAACGAAAACCCAAAAAATTAATGCAATCTATTGTGAGATTCAACACGATTCCAGTTAGTAACGCCGATTAGGATCTGCCAGGGCCTCACGCACGCATCGCAAGGACATTAATGTGTCAACATGTGCGTTGAGAGGAAGCGCACTACACAGTACAGTGTGTGTGTTTTGCCCCACACACAGTAGTCCCTGGCATTGACGACTAGTTCCTGGTAGCAGACGGTAGAGATCTCGATAAGGATCAGGACACGATTCGTGCGAATGTCACCCGGAGAGCTACGACCACAACAATGAACGCATAATGAGCAGAAGCTGTGCCAGAAATCCAAAATCTGGTTGAGATATCAACGCGGACAAATGGCATTCTGTCCATATGGGTACCCGTAACATAAAAATCAACATCCACTCCGGCCAGAGTAGAAATGTTTTCCTTTAATGCCTTTTTGCACGCTACATAAATCTTTGATGAAGAAAATTCAGAAGTTTTATTGCCCGTATGCAAAGCAGCCAGGAGATTTCCAACTTCAGACCGAAAAGAGACTGCTGACCTTCAACCCTTTCTCTCTTAACTGCTGCGGTTGACCGCATTATTGTCTCGGAAAAAGGGTTCCCTGGGATAACTTGATTAGGAGCCAGATTCCGTTTGTTTCTTAAGCGAACATTATTCTTGATTAAGTCACATTAATTATGATAATGATGCCCCGAAACGAATCCCAGGACAAAGGCGCAAATCTCAGACAATGGCAATTGAAATGGGAACAGGATATATCCCCGGCAGCCATATGAGACGTAATTTCGAACGGAAGGAAGCCAGGACGTGTGCGCAAATAAAAAATAGAAAATGGAAAAAGGAGCGAAAGGAAAGGTAAAAGTGTGATAAATGTCAGTTTCCTGCTCAGCATTTCGGACACGCTGATGACTTCATCTCGATCGCTGCACGGAAGTTATCTAATAACCGGGAGAGGACTCTCGTAATCCTTTTATGGAATTAATCAAGTGTGGCCATGACAAAAAAGTACAAAAATTGAGACCTTTCAGCTGTCCTTGGGGAGCGTGGTATACCACGGCAGATGGACGCGATTTCCTTTCTCCTCTCATAACTCACAAATGCCACAGATTGTTTGATTGACTTAAAAAATAGAGAATAATTCGAAAATTGGAGGAAAAATCCATGTAGAGGAAAATCGTTAAAAGAGCAAATGAAAATTGGAAATTCCTCAATTATTCAGCTCACATGCCGGGCGAGAGACATTCATAAATTATCCATAAACCAGTACAGGCCGAGTGCGTAGACTGTAGAGGAATGAATACTCAAATTTATGGACATTGATTCGGTGCAGTGCCTTGAATCGAAAATAAACAATTTTTATAGTTTATGTGGTGTTTGCTGATGTGATTTCCGTTCGGGAACAACCTCAGGTGGGCTCTGCCCATCAAGTCATTTTTTGGACTCGGTTGCAGTCTGAATATTAAAACAAAAGAAGGAAAAACAATCGAAACAGAAGTACATAGCTGCAGCTGCCTTCTGAGGCAAATGATCCTCAAGTGACCGCAGAAAGGTACCAAAAATGACAAATGGAGAACTTCTTTGGTAGCCGGGCGAAGATCTTGAGCAACTGTCAAAGCAGCCAGTCGTTTGTTGGCAAAATAACAATTAGAAAACAGTTTCAAAAGCTGATCTGCTCCGAGGGATTCATTAATCATGCAAAATAGCAGGCATACTTAACGGGGTCGGCCTGGCCTGTCTTTCGCCCTAAATGGCTTCGATCGATTCGGATTATAGTCGATACTCGAAATCAGGCACTCCGTCGAGTGTCATTTATTATGTCAGAGTTTTCTAGTTCAAGAGGGTCTGGAGCGGCCATTAACGGGTTGGGTAAGTAAATACATCCGCCGATCTCTCGGCTTGAATTTCTAATCAAGTGTCATTAATCACACTGTGGTGTCGCTTCGATTTTGGCATACGTTCAAGGTGACGGCACAAACAATTGCCGCCTCTGGGTTGCCTTTTATTTCGATTCCGATGCCGATGCCATCGGCATCACACTCACACTCACGTGACATTGGAAATGCAATTTTTTCGGCCCTCCCCGAAGTCTTCCCCTGCCCTTCAGGCGACCAACCAACCAACCATACTATGCCATACCATGCCACAAATTCGAATTCAAAGGCATCCACATGCAATTTGCCGTCTTGTTGCCGCGAAACTAGAACACGAATGAGAACTTTTTATTGGCATTATGCTTGCTGGCTTTGTTTACCCTTAGCCAGTGGAAAAAAAGCCATTTAAAAGAAGTCTTTGGGTTTTAAGAACGACTAGTGTAGACCCTTTTTCATATTACACATATTATATAAAACAAGAATCCATTATAGACAGAAGTGTGTCCCTGTCAGTTTCTAGGAAAGGATATATGTTCTAGTAGGAGCCTTCAGAGCTCCAGAAAAACCTACAGATAATTTAAACAACATTTTTAAGCATTTTGTGATTTAAACTCCCAACTAACCAAACCTTAGTAGATACTTAAGCCACCAAAATAATCAACAAACCCCTCAAAAGAAGAGCAACAAAATAGCCAAGAACTTAAGGTCAATTTTAATTCCAAGGCATTGAACTTGTTGTTGGGTGTATAGAATTTGGTGGGGCGCTACACCAAAAAAAAAAGCAACGAAATAAAATTGAAATTCTAGGAGGGGATACCGAAGGGGGTGGGATAGCAACCGACCTCGCCTTGGCTTCGTTTCTTTGATTTTGGGAGCTAGAGAACTTGCATAAGTATGCAATTAATTCCTCAATGGCTGCATTGTTAGGTTGTTATGTGCAGGCCATAACCCAGAGCCCAGAGTTGCGAGCCCGGAGTTTGGATACCAAAATATCTCATAGTTACACAACGCACAAAATGCGTTAATTAACAGAAATATGCAGCGCCCACTTGGAATTACTGGCAGAAATATCGGAATATGGACTGAAACCCGAGGAGGAACGCCCCCTCGAGGCATATAAAAATTTGTTTGCCGAGGACTCGCCAAAAAGTGGAGGGAAGGCAGCTTATGGCCGGGTTATTTATGATTTTTCGCATAAATTTACGCGAACGCTCGTAAAAATGCGTGAAATACGACATTTTGAGTTCTGTGAAAGTGTAACACAGTCTCCGGACTCAGCCTCCTCCCAAAGAACCTGGCCAAGAGATCTGGCCCCAGATCAGTAAGACAAAAGCTCAGCAGCTAACCGTGAACAATGTGGCAACATTTGCGTGATTTGTAGCTTTCAGAGCGTTAAGCCCCGGCAACAATGTTGCTAATAGACCTGGTCGAAAGCCTGACGAGGAATCCCAGCTCCTAGGCCATGTTGAGGCGTAGGCTCTGGTCCCACGGGTCCGGAATTCGCTGTAAACAAGTAGCTTTAGCTTAAAGGAATTTAAAACAAATGAAACCGATCTTGGCCAGACATGCAGCAGGCATCGTTCGAGTTAATTTAAATAATCAAGTAGAGAATCGCTCTCTTGGTGCTCGCAATACAAAATGTATATATATTTTAGGGGTTTACAGTCAATCTAGATTCGGGGTTAGTATTATAAATGGTAAAAGTTATTCTGGTAGATCCGTCAATCGTCCGCCAAGTCCCCCACCGTGGAGTGCGGCGGGGCAGTGGTCACCGCACTGAAGGGCAGGGCGTGCTGGGTGGCCGAGCCCCAGCTCCGACGGGGCAGGATCCTGCCGAAGTTGAAGTACTTCTGGCGCAGCTTGTCCTTGATCTCGTCCTCGTTCATGATGGCGCTAGCCTCGCGGAAATTGAGGAAAATTCGTCCCTTTTCGTCGGTTTTAATGGGCAAGATCTCGGTGCAGACATTACGGGCCTTGAGGAGGAAGCCCTCCTCCTCCTGCTCCCCAGCGGCAGACGGGATGTCTCCGTTGCAGTTCATCAGCTGGTCCTCCGGCAGCACAGCCACACTATCCAGCCGGGAGTCCATCGACTGGGATCTCGGCGGCTTGGCCGTACTCGGGTGGCTCTTCTTTTTCCGCAGACAGAACGGGTCCCGATCGCTGGCCTTGACGTACTGCACTACTGGGCGGTTGACTCCCCACTTGGGGCGGTCGTCCACCTTGGCGTCCTTGTCCTTGTGACTCTTCTTCAGGCCTTTGTCCTTCTCCTTGTCCTTGCTCTTGGCCTTGAAAGTGGTAGTGGTAGTGGTGGTTGTGGTCGTGGTAGTCTCGTGGTCCTTTTCAGCAGTGGATTCCTTAGCGGGTTGGGTCTGAGACTTGGAAGTTTGGGTAGTGGTAGTGGTGGAGACCTCTCGTTTGAGCAGTACCTTGTAGAAGTTGTCGTGGAATAGACAGAGATCGCAGTTGAGGGGCAGCTCTGTCTGGGTTTCCACATCGGCCTGCTGACCAGGCTCCAGATTAATCTCATGATCGCCTTCCTGATGTGGGCCATCCAAGTGGAGAGGAGTCTTTACTGGGATGAGTGCCAGCTTATCCTGCTCGGGTATGGATACTGGGGCCACGTCCACCTCCAGGGAATCGGGTGAAAAGCAACCACTGGCGGTTACCACATCCGTTCGCCCAGATCTCGCCGTCTCTATCAGGGGTTCTTCCTCCTCGTTTTCCGCCTTGTACCCATCTTCGGTGTATATGGAGGTGTCCGTACGCTGGGTCATTGTGGCCTTGGAATAGGATCCAGCAGTCGGAGGCGGCTTTTGCATGGGCTGCTGCACGAAGTACGTGGCTATCTGTAGGTTTCCGATGGCGTTTTGCAGGCCGAAGATGTCGCTGGTCACTGGCAATGGAATCAAAGTAGCCGGCTGCATTAGCAGGGCCATGTTCTCCTTGTCCTCACCCAGAAACGAGGCCTGTCTCTTGGCCTTTGGTTCCTCTTTTTTGGAGTCTGTCGGTTGCTTGATGGGCTTGGTGATGGTGCGGCGAAGATTGATGGGCGTGCCTATCAGGACTTTCTCCTCAGACACCACAGTGGGCTGGGACTGTGTCGAGGGCTGTGTTGGTGGTGCAGCCCTAGGGGTGTTGGAGAGCACCTCTTCGTTCTGACTGGGCGCTGCTCCAGTATCCTCTCCGTCCTCGTCCTCTTCTTCTACGGACTGCACCCTCAGAAGTTCCGACTCGTCGCCTTCGGTTTCCTGCGACTTCAAGGATATCTGCCTCACCATTCGCTTCTTCTGCTTCTCCATTTTGGCCGCCACCTCGGCCTTGGCAATGGCATCCAGCATAACCTGCTGTTTCTTCTGCTGGGCCTCCTCGCGCTCCAGCAGCTGCCGCCTCTCGAATTCCAGACGCTCCTGTTCCAAGTGCTTTTGCCGGCGCAGACGATCTTCCTCGATTTGCTCCTCCTGGCGATGCCGTTCCAGCTCCCACTTTCGAATCAGTTCCCGCTCCTGGAGCTGCTTCTTAATGGCATTGTGGTACTCGGCCGCCTTGCGTCGCTTGTCAATTCTTTCGGCCAGAGTATGAGCGTCCAGCGGGGCGTTCTGTCCCCTCAGATATGTCGAGCTGGATTGCAGGGACTGAACATCGTCCTCACTGTCCTTGAGGTCGTGCATCCCCCGGCTAAGCCATCCTGGTGGAGGCTGCTGACCACCCCCTCCAGTAGCGCCATTGTAGTTGGCCCAGCGGGCTCTTTCCCGTTCGTGCTGCTCGTGGACGTAGAAGTCCCCCTGCTCCGAGTTGCCTATGTGCACTTGGTAGGTGTTCGAAGTGGACACATCCCTACTGAGGCTCATGTTGGAGGAGCTGGGCGGAGCGGGCATATAGCAGCATCTGAAAAAAATGAATGAATTAACAAAAGTCTTTAATTAATGACTTTGAAAATTAAATCGATAACATAAAGGATAAGCTAGAGGTCCTTGGAAACAGAACCCGAATTACTGCATTGTTATTTATTTTAACAAACCCAATTAGCACACGTCTAATTGATGTTTGCTTTCTGGATTTGTGTGTGATTGGGTCACCTGGTTACGGCTACTCACCCGTCGGCCATGTACCCGTCGGCAGCCAGCGGCTCGTATCCCTGCCCTGGCACACGGCGACCCTTGATGACATACGCCAGGTTGGGCGGCTTCACCGTGGGCGGTGGGTGGTGGGCTGCCATCGGCATGGGAATTGGCAACGGGATGGCCATCGGGGCTGGCAGCTGAGCAGCCCCAGCTCCGCCCTGAATCGATCGCCGGAGGCGTCGACATCCGGCCATGCCCATGCCCCCGCCGATTGCACCACCCCCAGCCATCTCCTCCAGGACACTGGCGCTTCCCACACCACTGACGCTCTCGATTTGGCTCGCACCGTCGTTGAACCAAATATCGGGCGTGTGTGGGTTCTTCGGCGTGTCGCTCAGATAGCCGGAAGTGTCCTCCTCCTGGCAACCGGGCGCAACTCCTTGGTTTCCCTGGGCTCCCGGGGGATTGTTGTTTAATCGATGTGTGCCGTTGCTGGGATCAAAGTCTTTTGGCTTCGTCGCTCCCGCTCCCACTCCTGCTCCTACTCCAGGGCCCGCTCCTACTCCTCCTCCTGCCCCAGGTCCTGCCACCTTCTCACCCTGCCTCGCCCTCTGCCGAATAACTGGCAAACTGGGACTCCTGAGGCGTTGCTGTTGTTGCTGCTGCTGTTGGAGCAAAAGTTGCTGATGCAGTTGTTGTTGCTGGTGCTGACCCTGGCGGGAGTTTTGCATCCTGCCCTTGGCCGTTTGCAGGGATGTGGGCATAAGCTCCGCATAGCGGGCAGAGCTCTGCAACTGGCGGGAGGTCATGCCGGGGGCGTAGCTTCCCCGCCTGGTTCTGCGGTACATGGACTCGTCTTCGTCCTCGAAGTCCGCATCGGCATCCCCGTCCAAATCCTCGATGTAGCGCTCCAGTTGGTTCATGTAGGCCTGGTTGCCCTGCCTGTAGTCCGGCTGCCGCAGGATCAACTGCATGTCCTGGGTGGGCTGGTGGCGGCGTGAGTGACTGGAAGTCTGATTGGAGGTGGAGCTCTGGCTGAGATCCAGATTGGAGTAGTAGGTGCGAATGGAGGTGCGTTCGATCTTGTGGTGCGAGGTGTGCTGGTGATGGTACATCTCATCCATGCGAGCGATTTCCTCTGCGAAACTAAAAGCGTTATGTCCTTCACTTGGCTAACTCCGCGAGAAGACCCACCTCTCTCTTTGGCCCATTGCTGCTTCTTCAAGTCCAACAACCTGTGCGTTTGCCTAGCCTCTGGTCCCGTAATCATGTCAGTTCATTGCACTTCCGCAGTCGGGCCAGAAATGCTGGAGGTCAGCTGGAAACCGAGCAGCACACCGTCAAAAAATAGCACCACACCAAGGCTGTGCAGGAGCCTCACTGAAATTCCTTCGAACTTTGCCAAGCGGCAGCCGAAATTCGATTTGTTTTGCATTGGAATGCCAGCGGGTTGTCCTGGCAACCTCGTTACCCATTCACGGGTAAACAAAGCCACTTTGAGCACCCTACCCAGAGGGTATTATTCACGACCTGCTCTCGAAGGAAGAGTGTTTATAAAGCACTGTTCTTAGATAAGTTAAGAAATCTTTATGTTTATTTCTAAAAGGACTTGCCATCCTTGTAATATTTTGATAGAAACCTCTTCAATTAATTTTATAAACTTTTTTCAACTCCCATCCAGTTAAGGTATTTACTTCGTCATTGTTACCAAGTTAACCTTCCTTTTTCGTTTTTTATGGGGGCAGTCCTTGCACTCACTTTTGTCAGTGGGTTAATGCAGTCGGGAAAGCTTGTTATGTGGGTGGTGAGTGGTGGGGGTCTTCGGAAACTATAGCCATCATCGCGTGTTCGATGTCTGTTCCAAAAATACCCAGTCTCTGGGCTGTTGTTGGTATAAATTAAAAGTACAACCAAGCCAACCAGGAAGACCCAGACAATTTCCCGGCTTGGGGGTTGTGGGTGGCTCCTGGGAGTATCGATTTTCCATCAAGGGTGAACTATCCCCACACGCGTAAGTTCAATTACCGCACCAATACTACACATGTGTGGCATGTCGAAATAAAGGAAGAAAGAGCAACAAGTTATCAAGTGGAATCTTCTTTAACCTTCGGGCGAGCGTAGGTGTAAAATGGAGAACGCAGAACGTCCTTCGTGGCTGCTTTCTGGCCCGGCCTGGCCAGAAGACCCCAGAGTCTGTCCATTCGATTAGCGGAGGGACCAACCTCAGGCCCGGAGAATTTATTTCCCATGGTCAAAATAGAAATGGCCAAAAGATAAAAGCCACAGAGAAATATCTCATAACCCATTTTCCATAAACATACAGAGACCACAGAGGCAATGCAGTGTGGTTGCCTTCTTTTCTGTGTTTTGTATTTTTTTTTTTGTTGTATTCCGTTTTCCTGCCGTGGTGGTTCGGTGGTGCTGTTGGGTCTGTTTTATACGCGTGGGCGTTGAAATCACTGCCAGTCAAAAGGTCATGTTATGATCTTGAGCGAACTATGTGTCTAAGCATGAGAGCATGGGAGCCCCGGACTCTAGAGTGGAGTTCAGTCGACCCAACTCGAGAGTCAAGAGCAAGTCCCAGAGTCTTAAAGACAGACACCCATCGAGTCGAAGCACTGGGAAAATATTTCAGCAAAAAGGGTACAACCTGTACTGATTTTGATTAAATTTATTAAATGATTTGTAACCATTTCAGGATTATCTAAGAAGATATCCTTTTAAATGAAGTGTCATATCCTTCTTCTATTTCTAAATGTCGAATGAGGCCCCATTTTTCCCAAGTGCTGATCTCTAGCTGGCCAAGAAAAGGAGCAGCCAGATATCAGGCCAAAAGATGAGGGCGCCAGAGGAGACAACGAAGGCAGCGGGTGGAGTGCCACAGACAGAGACGGCAATCAAGAAATCCCACTTGATACAAGTGCATTTATAAGACATTATAATGAGTTTTTATAAACTTAAACAGGGTCGCCAGCGAGCAGCCTTAGGGCGTCACTTAACTAGACGAATGAATATGCTCTCGTCCCCCCTCGATCCAATCCCGCGCTCCAGTTGATCTCGGACATTGGTCACTGGTGATGGGTCATCAGTGGGGGGATGGTCATCAAGATCATAATTGCTTATGCAGCTGGGTCAAGAGTCGTGGCGACCCATCTCTCCCAAAACGGCACACATGTCACCACCACCACCACCACCAGCCCCACACTCCGAAAAGAAAGTGATCATGCCAGGAGGACTGATGATCGGCTGCGATCATGTCCGATGCCATTTAAGCAGCAATTTTCATTCATCTTCGAGGCAACCCGAAGATTTTCACTTGTCCGCTGGCCGATCGAGCGATCGAACCAACGAACGGCAATCAATTGAACGATCAGGCCCGATCGCGGTGGATCGTTTTGCTCGATCGCTCTATTCAAACGATCGATGTATCATTTAGCGAATAACCTCAATACACCTACCAATAAACAAACAAGCCAAATGCCTAATAATTGTAATTTTCCATATTTTTGTCGAGTCTACGATCGGACGACGAATGCGATGAACCCAAACACGATCGGGCCCCCAAGGCAAAGGAGCCGTTTAAATGGCAGATAGAGAAAGATATATATGTTTCAGATACAATCGGGGCTGGAATTATAGAATATTAGACTTATATTATAAAATTTCTAAATATTTTTAACTCAAAGATATTCGATCATAATCATAGTCATAGAACAAATACTCATACTTTGTACCCTCCTAACACTTTATTATTTTTCCATGTATGCTATTTTTTTACCCTGATCTGTTTATATACTTAGATGGAGAGAGAGGGCATTAGACCATACATATTGATCAAAATTGATGATGTTGACACGAACTTTGAACGACTCTGATCGTCGTCTGCTTACAAGGGTTTCTCAAGCGATTTTCATAAGTGATTCGGGCAACTCGTGTAGCAAACGACTCTAGGTTTCAACTCAAGTGAGAGTATAGTTCAATTGATATGTAAAAAAAGGTACTTTTTTCACAGCCAAGATCGATGGACTGGAATGGAGCTAATTTCCGAGCCATTGAAGTTTTCGACAATGAATTTCGTAACTCTGAACAGGTCGAACTGTCCTCTTCGAGAACTTAATTGTTGTGCTCTCGAAACACTACAAGGTAGAATTTATTTGAAAGACAAACCAAATAGTTGGGCATTGCGTTTGCTGCACTTTCGATTGGAGCTGACAACACGACATGACTGCCCAAAAATGGTCACTGGACAGCGAAAAGAGACACCTCCAATCGAAGTCGAAGGCCCAGGTCTAAGCGCCAACAACAAGCGACTGTCAGGTGTTTGGAGATCTTTTGCAGCTTCGAATATCTAGCCACTGGAGCCACGAGTCGCAGCTGGAGAGAAGAAAAAATAGGGAGTGTGGGCATGATAACTTTGCGATTAGTTTAGAATGAATGTCCTCCGATAAACTAAAGAAGTATATGTTACGGCCATAAATAGAAATTTCTAATGTGGGAACTCAATTAGCGGCGGTTTACGATTACCACAAAAAAATGCAATAATTTAAATATAATTGTTAAGGTAAGTTTTGATAAAAACTTTACTTGAAAGTGGACAAACTATACACGTCTATAAAAATGTAAGGAGAATTCTTAAACAGGGTTCTATAACAAAAGATGGAACTCTTATTCAAAGGGTATCTGCCACTTCGACTGATGGAATGCCTTTGGAGCTGCCCCGTCTAGTTTTTCACCCATTGCATCTGCTTGTCGTCCTCGGGACTGACAACATGTTACACTTTGGTCACTATAATGAGCCGTAATTAGTGGCAGAGATCTGTGCAACAACTGCAACAGCAACAGCAGCATCCGAGCAATGCGACACCGATTGGCTGCGTGTGAAAAGTTGCGCGCTTTGTGATAATTGCCACAAAAGCTGCTTCCACGTCGGCGTCTGCATTTCAGCCAGAGAGCCGGACACTCGGCCATGTGTCAACGTCGTTGGCGGCGGCGAGTGTCAGGCTAAATGAAAGGAAAACTGATTACACTTGACAAGTTCAAATTGTTTGCGCCGACTAAGGGACAGGCGACATTAAAGACCGAGAGTGAAAGCCCCCTGAGTCGCGGAGCCTGTCAAAGGTTTTTTCTTCATTTTTATTTCACTTCTTCAGCTGATTTGTTTTTCCTTTTTTTTTTTTTGTCCAAAAGTGTGTGTGCTTGTGGAAAAGGAAAAATCTGAACAGCAACTTAGCAATTTCCCACCGACAAAGAGACGAAAAGTTGGAAAATCTTAAAATGTCCACTGATTGCCGCAGCTTGTTGTTGTTTTTGGCCACATGCATGGTGGTAAAGGCCCGGCCAGGCCCGAAGCCTCCTGGCCTCGGCTTTGGCTAACGGTTAATACAGTCCATCATTATCAGAAATGCGTTTGCAGCTCCCAGAGCCAGATCTCTGGCTAAGGTCAGTTTAGAGACCAAAAAAATTGTTGCCTACAAGCCTCCCCTCCTGCCCCAAAAAAAAAGGCTAAAACAAGGAAAAAGCGAAAAAATTCTCACAAGGCGCTGGCTACATTGAGAAAAAAATTTAAGACTCCTAAAGGAAAGGTTCATATTATACCTAGTGATAAAAAAAAGCTTACTTTTGTTTGAATTCTAAAAGTTTTAGATTAAAACTTATTTGATAATAATTCTATAAGTTGAAGTATTTCTTCCTGTACATGTCTGGCTGGCTGGTTCTTAGCCAGAAAAGAGCTTGGCTACATGAAACAGGTGTGGCACGTCGCAAAAAAAAAAAAATATATATATAAACTGGGAGGAGAGTCTGCTGCCTGTGATGCTGCTACTCGGGCTGACTGGACCAAGACCTGGCCCAAAGAGTGTGTGGCGTGGTGGTGATGCTTTTGGCCAGGTTAGAGCTCTCCGAGGTTGGCGACGCTTTTACCGCACGTTCGTTATTTTTGAGGTCACAATATGCTATGTGTGTGCCTGGGCATCAAGAGACGACAACGACGGCTCTAGCCCAGCTCCAAGTCGAGGTCCGCGCTGATCATCGCTGGAAATCTGCGGATGCGGACCATGGGCTGTGTTTGTTTGTCGCCTCTAATGAAACACGCGACATGGAAACACACACACATACTCACATACAACTATGTATGGCTCAACTTTGACCCTGGTCAGAGGGCACAGCCAGGCTTGAAATTAAAAAAGATAACTCAGATGCGAAAACAATTGATAGTCACAGATATTAAGCTTTGACAGCATAAAATACGATAGACATAGCCCGATAAAGTTTATTTCGCGTCAAGTCAATTAAGGTTAGACTCTCGAAGAATCTATTGAGAAGAGCTGTTTTCAGGTGGGAATTCCCTCAGGTGAATACAAGATAGAAG